AAAAAGAGAGGAAAATGAGAGAGTGGGTGAGATGTTATCAACAAATTTTGTTGAAAATAAGAAAAAGTTTTGGAGTGAGATTAACAAGTTAAGGAAGCCTAGAGAACAAATGGATTTGTCAGTTAAAAATAGGAGAGGAGAGTTATTAAATGGAGAGTTAGAGGTATTAGGAAGATAGGAGGGAATATTTTGAGGAACTGTTAAATGTTGATGAAGATAGGGAGCTGTGATTTCGTGTATAGGGCAAGAAGGAATAACATCTTGTAGGAGTGAGGAAGAGCCAGTTGTGAGTGTGGGGGAAGTTCGTGAGGAGTAGGTAAATGAAGGGGGTAAGGCAGCCGGGATTGATGGGATAAAGATAGAAATGTTAAAAGCAGGTGAGGATATAGTTTTGGAGTGGTTGGTGCAATTATTTAATAAATGTATGGATGAGGGTAAGATACCTAGGGATTGGCAGAGAGCATGCATAGTTCCTTTGTATAAAGGCAAAGGGGACAAAAGAGTGCAAAAATTATAGGGGGATAAGTCTGTTGAGTATACCTGGTAAAGTGTATAGTAGAGTTATTATTGAAAGAATTAAGAGTAAGACGGAGAATAGGATAGCTGATGAACAAGGAGGCTTTAGGAAAGGTAGGGGGTGTGTGGACCAGGTGTTTACAGTGAAACATATAAGTGTGGCATTTAGGGATTTGGAAAAGGCGTATGACAGGGTGGATAGGGGGACAATGAGGCAGATGTTGCAGGTGTATGGTATAGGAGGTAGGTTACTGAAAGCAGTGAAGAGTTTTTACGAGGATAGTGAGGCTCAAGTTAGAGTATGTAGGAAAGAGGGAAATTATTTCCCAGTAAAAGTAGGCCTTAGACAAGGATGTGTGATGTCACCGTGGTTGTTTAATATATTTATAGATGGGGTTGTAAGAGAAGTAAATGCGAGGGTCTTGGCAAGAGGCGTGGAGTTAAAAGATAAAGAATCACATACAAAGTGGGAGTTGTCACAATTGCTCTTTGCTGATGACACTGTGCTCTTGGGAGATTCTTAAGAGAAGTTGCAGAGGTTGGTGGATGAATTTGGTAGGGTGTGCAAAAGAAGAAAATTAAAAGTGAATACAGGAAAGAGTAAGGTTATGAGGATAACAAAAAGATTAGGTGATGAAAGATTGGATATCAGATTGGAGGGAGAGAGTATGGAGGAGGTGAATGTATTCAGATATTTGGGAGTGGACGTGTCAGCGGATGGGTCTATGAAAGATGAGGTGAATCATAGAATTGATGAGGGGAAAAGGGTGAGTGGTGCACTTAGGAGTCTGTGGAGACAAAGAACTTTGTCCTTGGAGGCAAAGAGGGGAATGTATGAGAGTATAGTTTTACCAACGCTCTTATATGGGTGTGAAGCATGGGTGATGAATGTTGCAGCGAGAAGAAGGCTGGAGGCAGTGGAGATGTCATGTCTGAGAGCAATGTGTGGTGTGAATATAATGCAGAGAATTCGTAGTTTGGAAGTTAGGAGGAGGTGCGGGATTACCAAAACTGTTGTCCAGAGGGCTGGGGAAGGGTTGTTGAGGTGGTTCGGAAATGTAAAGAGAATGGAGCGAAACAGAATGACTTCAAGAGTGTATCAGTCTGTAGTGGAAGGAAGGCGGGGTAGGGGTCGGCCTAGGAAAGGTTGGAGGGAGGGGGGTAAAGGAGGTTTTGTGTGCGAGGGGCTTGGACTTCCAGCAGGCATGCGTGAGCGTGTTTGATAGGAGTGAATGGAGACAAATGGTTTTTAATACTTGACGTGCTGTTGGAGTGTGAGCAAAGTAACATTTATGAAGGGGTTCAGGGAAACCGGCAGGCCGGACTTGAGTCCTGGAGATGGGAAGTACAGTGCCTGCACTCTGAAGGAGGGTGTTAATGTTGCAGTTTAAAAACTGTAGTGTAAAGCACCTTTCTGGCAAGACAGTGATGGAGTGAATGATGGTGAAAGTTTTTCTTTTTCGGGCCACCCTGCCTTGGTGGGAATCGGCCAGTGTGATAATAAAAAAAATAATAAATATATTATATATATATATATATATATATATATTATATATATATATATATATATATATATAAATATATATATAATATATATTATATATATATATATATATATATATATTATATATTCCAAACCATTATTACGAAGTTACATATTCTACATATTTTCGTAATCTAATGAATATGTAACAAAATTCACATACTCCCCCTCCCCTCCATCTCCCCCTCCATCTCCCCCTCCATCTCCCCCTCCCCCTCCATCTCTCCCTCCCCCTCCCCCTCTCCCTCGATTCAATTGACCACACAGAGGCTCCTGTTATCCGGGGGAGGGGGCGTGGGAGGGGGGCGTGGGAGGGGGGACTGGGAGGGGGGCGTGGGAGGGGGGACTGGGAGGGGGGGCGGTGGGAGGATAGGCCTGCAAATGGACTGCTTTTTAGAACACAGGTTATGCCTGCAACCCGGGAATTATTTACCGTTGAAATCAATAGTTAAATGGAAGGTAATGTTAGTTTTATATGGGCCGGAATTATCTACGGTTATGTCAGCAATAATCCATACTAACCAGACCAATTTATTTTTAACGATGTTTTTTCTTTTTTTTACAAGTTTTTTTTTCGGGTGGATGAGAATGTTTGATGTGTTTTTTTATTTATTTGTTTTTTTTTTTTTTTAAAGTGATTATTGTCTTCATTAGTGGACGTGAAAATGCTGGGAATTAGCCCCGGGTATTTTTTGAATTGATTAGGTATTGGCTAGCGTTGATTTAGGGTCTAGGACCACTTATGGTTATGGTTAGGTACGACTGTAGGATCACCTGTTATTATGCTCTGGGATCACCTGTTATTATGCTCTAGGATCACCTGTTATTATGCTCTAGGATCACCTGTTATTATGCTCTAGGATCACTTGTTATTATGCTCTAGGATCACTTGTTATTATGCTCTAGGATCACCTGTTATTATGCTCTAGGATCACCTGTTATTATGCTCTAGGATCACCTGTTATTATGCTCTAGGATCACCTGGTTATGCTCTAGGATCACCTGTTATTATGCTCTAGGATCACTTGTTATTATGCTCTAGGGAATTCAACCTGTTATTATGCTCTAGGATCACTTGTTATTATGCTCTAGGATCACCTGCTATTATGCTCTAGGATCACCTGTTATTATGCTCTAGGATCACCTGTTATTATGCTCTAGGATCACCTGGCATTATGCTCTAGGATCACCTGTTATTATGCTCTGGGATCACCTGTTATTATGCTCTAGGATCACTTGTTATTATGCTCTAGGATCACCTGTTATTATGCTCTAGGATCACCTATTATTATGCTCTAGGATCACCTGTTATTATGCTCTAGGATCACCTGTTATTATGCTCTAGGATCACCTGTTATTATGCTCTAGGATCACCTGCTATTATGCTATAGGATCACCTGTTATTATGCTCTAGGATCACTTGTTATTATGCTCTAGGAACACCTGTTATTATGCTCTAGGATCACCTCTTACTATGCTCTAGGATCACCTGTCATTATGCTCTAGGATCACCTGTTATTATGCTCTGGGATCATCTGTTATTATGCTCTAGGATCACCTGTTATTATGCTCTAGGATCACCTGTTATTATGCTCTAGGATCACCTCTTATTATGCTCTAGGATCACCTCTTACTATGCTCTAGGATCACCTGTTATTATGCTGTAGGATCACCTGTTATTATGCTCTAGGATCACCTGTTATTATGCTCTAGGATCATCAGTCTTGAAGCCTAGATATGATCCATGGATCATTCTATTAATCCTGACTAGTCTCTGTCGTGGTACAGAGGTTACTGTAGTTAACACAGACTATAACTATCAGTGATCCATCTCAACCAGATTATTCTTGACATCATCCTTAATCTCAGAGCACATACATAACCTCCAGTGAAAACTAAATTGTCTTTGTGTGTGTGTGTGTGTGTGTGTGTGTGTGTGTGTGTGTGTGTGTGTGTGTGTGTGTGTGTGTGTGTGTGTGTGTGTGTGTGTGTGTGTGTGTGTGTGTGGCACCCAGTTTTATATATCACAACCCTCACTTCCCGTCTCCTAGCATCGTTCTGGAACTAACAAGTAACATTAAAATAGGTCGGGTAATTATTTCTGTTTAGTGGGTTTGAGTTTGATAAGGACCTGCCTAGTATGGGCCAATAGGCCTATAATTACGCAGGTTCCCCCTTTCTTATATTATGTTCTTTCCCAATCATTCACAGTCGCTCGTGAGTAGAAATAATAACTGGACTCTCAAAATTTCATATGGGGCCAAGAATGAGCCTTTTTTTGAAATATTTCAAGCTCATTCAGAACCATGGATGGGGGATCTGAATGGGTTTGTTCATCTCTTTAACGTTAGATGATCCAACGTTAAAGGGTCGAACAAGGGAGCATCAGACGTTCCTCAGTACACTGTCTTAATAACACTTTGAGACTTCTCTAGTCAGACTAACATGTGCAAAACTCTCCCATATATCGCACTCAACAGGTGGGTAGGACAAAAAACAGACGTAAACATGTGAAAACAGACATATATTAATCTCTATATACACAGGAACATGTGGGGGGGACGTGGTAAGAGCGGCTCTACAGTAAACACTGCTTAGAGCAACCTTAACATTACTTTATACATAATTTACAAGTGATAAATTAATTCTCTCAGTTTGTATATTTATATGTATGCAAATATTTATCTTTACATATAGAATTCTATATTATGGAATTAAGATTTTGTATTGTCATTCATATATAATTAACACTGTCTTTTACGTGTATTATTGTCTGATATATATATATATATATATATATATATATATATATATATATATATATATATATATATATATATATATATATATATATATAATATATATGCAAAACACCACTGTGAAAATTGTGAAATGCAAACGCTTTCGTTATTTCTCACATTATCAAGGACTGTAACAATAACCTAACATCAGAAGACTTATAAGGCTTAGATATGATCTCACGGTGACGTCCAGCATTACATCCGTCATATCAAAATTCTTCCCAAATTTTATTAATTATAAATTGATCTAATTTGTATAATCCTAAACCAATATTCATACTAAAATTAAAACGATTTTTTAAGAACCTTGATTCAGTTTTATTTCTGTCAGCCATGAACCCGCTTGATACAGCTTTCCCGACCTTTTGAAAATTAAATACGTGGTTAAAATCTCTGTCATGAATAAATAAAATATTAGACTCTTGTCCACTTCTAATGCCATATTGATGTTGTTGTAAATTTAGATAAAAATTTTACCCAGGTTGACGGTAATGAACTTCATTACAGATTTTATACAGGAAATCTTGCAGACATAGCAGTCACCATTTTCGGAGGAATTGTCACGGTGGTTGTTTTGCATACTGTGATATCACTTGTGTATTGAGGTATTAGGCTGTTTAAGATACAGTCAGAGGTGAGTCTGAGGTACAGTCAGGCAGTCAGAGGTCAAACAGTTTAATGTACAGTCAAGGGAGAGGTATTTAGAGGTGACATTATAGGTGTAGGGAGAGTGAGGTGAAGTAAGTGCAGGTGTTGTGAAGATCAGCGTGCTAGGTGATGCAGGTAGAGTGCAGCCAGGGGTGTGTGAGGGGGCAGCGGCCCCCTGTAAGACAGGGGAGCGGGACACAGCAGCGGGGGCGGAGGGGGCGGCAGTAGGCCTCCAGAGTAGGCTGACAGCGGTGGACTGGGCGGCTGGGTGGGTGTGTTGACATCACACCCGGGGTTCTGTTTTTTCCACTTAGTTCGGCGGTTCTGGAACCAAATCTTGACTTGCGTCTCCGTCAGGTTGAGCGCCAGGGCGAGATTGAGCCTCTCACACACGCTCAGATACCTCGTGTGCTTAAATTTATTCTCCAGCGACACCAACTGTTCGTAGGTGAAGGCCGTCCTGGCTCTTCGAGGTTTGCCTCCGCCAGCGCCGCCTCCAGACCCGCCCCGGCGTGAGGCACCTTCTGGCTTCCTCCCGCAGCGGCCCTCAGCCTCGTCGCCAGAATCTGAACACACTGCGAACACCAACAGTATCATTAGTCCAGAGTACGCACACAAACACACATAGGTCTGAGCGTACACATGTGTACAGGAGCCGACATACCACCTCTGCAACCAAACACAAACACACACATACGAGAATAATAATAATAATAATAATAATAATAATAATAATAATAATAATAATAATAATAATAATAATAATAATAATAATAATAATAATAATAATAATAATAATAATAATAATAATAATATAATAAATTAACAATAATAATAATAATAATAATAATAATAATATCAATTTAAATAAGGCTTTATCAAGTATAGTTACCAGTCACCTACTTACCATTTACTAGTTTCCAAGAGTAGTTAGTCGCCTATTATCCGTGCAATAGAATAAGCTAGTCGTCTCTCCACCTAGTAGTGTGTGTGTGTGTGTGTGTGTGTGTGTGTTTGTCTTACACATTAATCCCTTGCATTTTTGCGTTTTCTTTCCCGATTATGTAAATGATACGAGGGGGAAAATATACCAAAAAATTCTGGATAACGCCAGCGTCTTTCTCAACAACTGAAACCAGAATTAGGAACGAACAGATACGTAATATCTAGATATAGTTCTTAGATAGATATGGAATAAAGACAGGGAGAGACAGAGGCTACAGTTATTAGATATGGAATACAGACAGGAGTAGACAGAGGCTACAGTTTTTAGACAGATATGGAATACAGACAGGAGTTAACAGAAGCTACAGTTCTTAGACCAGATATGGAATACAGACAGGGGGAGACAGAAGCTACAGGCGTCATACATGAGAAGGTCGTGGGGTAGACATAACACCAAGCACATCACCTCCTCGTCTCCGCACGCGTTCATGGATAACTTCAGATCTGTAATTAGGTACAAAGCAAAAACTTTTTCTCGTGTTGAGTCCGCAGCCCCAGCATGGAGCCCTCACCTGGAAAAGCAAGTCCTGGAGCTAAGAGTGATGTCGCGTGAGCAAAACAAGAGAGGAACTTCGGGGGAGACATGATTACAACGTACAAAATACCCAGGTGATGCAGGAGGGCATCACCTGATTTCATACGCAGTTTGAAGAGAAGGTATGATAGGGCCAATGAGGCAAGGAATTTATCGAGCTGTTCATGAGCAAGTGAGAGACGGAGCGGAGATTCGAACCCCCACAGCCACAACAAAGTTAGGACACAATTTTTTTAACTAATAAATAAAAGGAATAATTTCTGTATAATTAGAAAGTGACGAAATAATATAATCAAAGTTAAAAGGAGAGCTCTTAACCCGTAGGGGAACTCTAGCCAAGACTGAGGGACTGACCACCTTGTATCAAGGTTGAGGGACTGACCACCTTGTATCAAGGTTGAGGGACTGACCACCTTGTATCAAGGTTGAGGGACTGACCACCTTGTATCAAGATTGAGGGACTGACCACCTTGTATCAAGGTTGAGGGACTGACCACCTTGTATCAAGGGTGAGGGACTGACCACCTTGTATCAAGATGAGGGACTGACCACCTTGTATCAAGGTTGAGGGACTGACCACCTTGTATCAAGATTGAGGGACTGACCACCTTGTATCAAGGGTGAGGGACTGACCACCTTGTATCAAGGGTGAGGGACTGACCACCTTGTATCAAGATTGAGGGACTGACCACCTTGTATCAAGATGTGAGGACTGACCACCTTGTATCAAGGGTGAGGGACTGACCACCTTGTATCAAGGGTGAGGGACTGACCACCTTGTATCAAGATTGAGGGACTGACCACCTTGTATCAAGGTTGAGGGACTGACCACCTTGTATCAAGATTGAGGGACTGACCACCTTGTATCAAGATTGAGGGACTGACCACCTTGTATCAAGGGTGAGGGACTGACCACCTTGTATCAAGGGTGAGGGACTGACCACCTTGTATCAAGGGTGAGAGACTGACCACCTTGTATCAAGATTGAGGGACTGACCACCTTGTATCAAGGGTGAGGGACTGACCACCTTGTATCAAGATTGAGGGACTGACCACCTTGTATCAAGATTGAGGGACTGACCACCTTGTATCAAGATTGAGGGACTGACCACCTTGTATCAAGATTGAGGGACTGACCACCTTGTATCAAGGGTGAGGGACTGACCACCTTGTATCAAGGGTGAGGGACTGACCACCTTGTATCAAGATTGAGGGACTGACCACCTTGTATCAAGGGTGAGGGACTGACCACCTTGTATCAAGGGTGAGGACTGACCACCTTGTATCAAGGGTGAGGGACTGACCACCTTGTATCAAGGTTGAGGGACTGACCACCTTGTATCAAGGTTGAGGGACTGACCACCTTGTATCAAGGTTGAGGGACTGACCACCTTGTATCAAGGTTGAGGGACTGACCACCTTGTATCAAGGGTGAGGGACTGACCACCTTGTATCAAGAGTGAGGGACTGACCACCTTGTATCAAGATTGAGGGACTGACCACCTTGTATCAAGATTGAGGGACTGACCACCTTGTATCAAGTTGAGGGACTGACCACCTTGTATCAAGGTGAGGGACTGACCACCTTGTATCAAGGGTGAGGGACTGACCACCTTGTATCAAGTTGAGGGACTGACCACCTTGATCAAGATTGAGAGGACTGACACCTTGTATCAAGATTGAGGGACTGACCACCTTGTATCAAGGGTGAGGGACTGACCACCTTGTATCAAGGGTGAGGGACTGACCACCTTGTATCAAGGGTGAGGGACTGACCACCTTGTATCAAGGATTGAGGGACTGACCACCTTGTACAAGATTGAGGGACTGACCACCTTGTATCAAGTTGAGGGACTGACCACCTTGTATCAAGGTGAGGGACTGACCACCTTGTATCAAGGTGAGGGACTGACCACCTTGTATCAAGGTTGAGGGACTGACCACCTTGTATCAAGGTTGAGGGACTGACCACCTTGTATCAAGGGTGAGGGACTGACCACCTTGTATCAAGGTTGAGGGACTGACCACCTTGTGTCAAGGTTGAGGGACTGACCACCTTGTATCAAGGTTGAGGGACTGACCACCTTGTATCAAGGGTGAGGGACTGTACCCTTGTATCAAGGTGAGGGACTGACCACCTTGTATCAAGGGTGAGGGACTGACCACCTTGTATCAAGGGTGAGGGACTGACCACCTTGTATCAAGGGTGAGGGACTGACCACCTTGTATCAAGGTTGAGGGACTGACCACCTTGTATCAAGGGTGAGGGACTGACCACCTTGTATCAAGATTGAGGGACTGACCACCTTGCATCAAGGGTGAGAGACTAGCCACCTTGTATCAAGGTTGAGGGACTGACCACCTTGTATCAAGGTTGAGGGACTGACCACCTTCTATCAAGGTTAAGGGACTGACCACTTTATATCAAGGTTGAGGGACAGGCCACATTCTATCAAGGTTGAGGGACTGACCACCTTGTATCAAGGTTAAGGGACTGACCACCTTGTATCAAGGTTAAGGGACTGACCATCTTGTATCAAGGTTAAGGGACTGACCACCTTGCATCAAGGTTAAGGGACTGACCACCTTGTATCAAGGTTAAGGGACTGACCACCTTGTATCAAGGTTAAGGGACTGACCACCTTGTATCAAGGTTAAGGGACTGACCACCTTGTATCAAGGTTAAGGGACTGACCACCTTGTATCAAGGTTAAGGGACTGACCACCTTTGTATCAAGGTTAAGGGACTGACCACCTTGTATCAAGGTTAAGGGACTGACCACCTTGCATCAAGGTTAAGGGACTGACCACCTTGTATCAAGGTTAAGGGACTGACCACCTTGCATCAAGGTTAAGGGACTGACCACCTTGTATCAAGGTTAAGGGACTGACCACCTTGTATCAAGGTTAAGGGACTGACCACCTTGTATCAAGGTTAAGGGACTGACAACTTATATCAAGTTAGGCACTGTCCACTTTGCATCATGTTAGGGACTGATCCCTTGCATCAAGATTAAGGCTGACCAGGCTTGTATCAAGGTTAAGATGAGATCTGACCACCTTGTATCAAGTTAAGGACTGAACCACCTCTATCAAGTTAAGACGACAACTTGAAAAGTTGCATTTCCACTTTCTCACTATCCGTGTCAGGCTGTTATTGCCTTACTTCCTACGAATACAGAAGCTGGTTGGAGGCACGCGCAAAATACGTTCAATTGAAATGAAGATCGATGACCACAAAAACCACCCACACACACCACACATTACATTAGACACATACAACAACACACTTCACACACCTCATCTACATAGAGCACCAAACAACATGATGGTACTCGCAACTTTTAAAGTGATAATACCGTGTACGCTCTTTGGTGTTATGCCTGGGTAATGACCAGGCCTTGCAGTTTGATGGCCGCTGCAATTAATGTCACAGGAATATTGCTAATTGAACTTGAAATATGTGGCGGTTTGCCGAAATATTTTATCGCGCTGCACAATGTGTTTTGTATGCAAATTGATATTGTATATGAGGCAATAAAAACGAGCTTCCACATCATGCATGACTATATTAGAGAGAATATATTATATTGATATTCTTGAATGATTATCTTGTAGATAGTCGTTTTGATAGAAATGAAACATTTAATGCAATTCAGCCAAATTTTGATAGAAAATATATTTCACGTTATTTATTATATTAATATTATTTAAAAATTATAAATATATTTATAGTTATAAAATAAATTGTATTATATATATATAGTAATTTCTAATATCTATATTTGAAATATAAAATTTTTTAATATAATTAATAAATATATATGTCGTAGCGAATAGGCAGAAAATCTTGGCATTTGGCTTAATTGCAACGTTTCATTTGCCGCATATAGACAAGTGAAAATTTGTGTATGCAATAATTTCGCAAATATTTTTACCCTAACGAAAAATATTATAATTTACTGTGTTTTTTAGTATTATAATGTATTATAAACAAATATAAATTGATATTAGTTGGGTTAGGCTAAAATAAATTGTTCTTGTATTATAAAGGTTAGGTAAGTTTTCTAAGATTCTTTTGGTGCAAAATTAAAATTTTTTACATTAAAATTAATGAAAATATATATATCTTTAAGCGTATAAGAGAAATTTTAGAAAGGACTTAATTTTAAATGAGTTCTTGCTAATTGACCAGTTTTACATATTCGGCACGACATATATATATATATATATATATGTATGTATATATATTATATATATATATATATATATATATATATATTATATATATATATATATATATACATATATATATATATATATATATATATATATATATATATATATATATATATTATATATATATGTATAATAATAAGACAGGAGAAGACGTATGAAACTTAGATATGACCTGACATGTGACTTCGTATATGACCTTACTGAGCATGGGAATTACTTTCCATTGTTGCGAAGTTTACAGTCAGGTCAGAGGTCAGGTCAAATTTAAGACTGACATGTCAGATAAAGGGGAAATTTCTTGAATAAAAGTTTATAATCCTCACAAATTCTATTTATTATAAATGTATCTGATTTATACAATCCTGGACTTATATTCAGATCAGAGTCAGTATTAATTTTTTTTTTTTTACGTAACTGGATTCAGTTATAATTCTCTCTCCCGGCCTTTTGAAAATCATTTGGGTGGTTAAAATCTCTGACATGAATAAATAGAGCATTAGAATCTTGTCCACTTTTAATACTATATTTATGTTGATGAAATTTTAGTTTAAGGATTTTCCCAGTTTGGCCGTTGTAAACTTTATCGCATTTTTTACAGGGAATCTTGTAGACGCGGCCATCAGCATTATTGTGGAAGGGATTCTTAATTAAATAGTGTTTTATGAAGGCAAGAATTTTTAATTACAACTTTGATTTTTGGAAGTTTTCAAGCAGAGAAGGTATATCAGAGAATATGTGACGTCACAATTGTGATCATATGTGAGGTCATATGTATGGTTATGCGTGAGGTCACATTTAAGCTCGTATGTAAGGTCACATGTGAGGTGGTCACATGTAAGATCATATCTAAGCTTTATATATCTTCTGTTGTCTTATTATATTTACTGTTCCTTGATATATATATATATAATATATATATATATATATATATATATATATATATATATATATATATATATATATATATATATATATATATATATATAATATATAATGGTAGCAGGAAGGCGGCGTGGAAGCAACAGCAGGAAGGGGCGTGGTAGCAGCAGCAGGAAGAGGCGTGTTAGCAGCAGCAGGAAGGGGCGTAGCAGCAGCAGGAAGGGGCGTGGTAGGAGCAGCAGGAAGAGGCATGGTAGCAGCAGCAGGAAGGGGCGTGGTAGCAGCAGCAGGAAGAGGCATGGTAGCAGCAGCAGGAAGGGGCGTAACAGCAGCA